TATTGGGAAACAAAACCAGAACAAAACCAGCCTGAGATAGAGCTTTTGTTTATGTTGCTGACCCATCTGTCTTCATTAATGCATTATTTACAGGAAAAGTTAAAAAATTAGCTTCTGCTCCCTCTTCAAGTGCAGCAGCAACAAATAAAGGCTGAATGCTTCATTTGCCCTGGACTAAAAATGGAAATTCTTATCAGCACCCCTTGAAGAAGGGGTTTATGATGTGGAGAGGATTGTTGTTGGGTATTAGTGCCTCTGGCCACAGCTGGGTGTTTCCAGGCAGGGCAGCCAGGGAGGTGCTGTGTCACAGAAAGCACAAAACATCCCCCTCACCTTACCCAAACTCCTGCTTTGTGGCTAAAAGCAGAAATGCTGCGGTGCTTGCCCCGTACTCACCCTGCAGGGTCCTGGTGTGATTCCCCTGGGTGTGGGAAGGGTTGGGGTGAGCCCTGGCGTGGCCCAGGCATCACCCAGGTGTCTCTGGCCCTGAGGAGATGTTCAGTGCGAGTCTGTTCCCAGCACAATCTGATCCACCTCCTGCTCAGCATTCCCCGGGCTTAGCAGGACCTTTATTGTATTTTTGAAGTAAAGACAGGCAATAGGAGGGATAAAAGCAATCAAAAAGGCTGCAATAAAGGAAATTGTAGGAGAGGAATGGATTTCCATGGCACAGAGCAATGCTTCCTGAGCAGGAGGGTGTTGGCTTGTTCCCTATCTCCCAGTATTTTGTTTTCTGTGATGACCAACAGAGACAACACGCCGTGTTTTAGTGTAGCTGGGCAGCTGGGGCAGCATTTATTCAATATTAACATTAAGGAGCATTCAAAATTAGCATTACGAGGAAGTTGAAGGGATGAGGACTGAGGGATGCTCCCTGCAGCTCCCCAGACAATGTCCTTCAGCTCTGTGTGACTGAGCCTGTCCAGGCTGGCAGCTTCACAAGGTGTTGAAAATGTACGTGTCGAGTTAAGTGAGAAGGTTTAGACACAGGGTGGTCTCTGCAATCAGGTACAGTAGCTGGCTAGCAACAGCAGCTAAACAACAGCCCAGCCTGCCAGGGAGCTCAGGTTTATGTTGGCTTTGCTGTAGCAACTCCTTATCTGCCAGAGATTAGAGCAGCTCCCATCAGTTGTTGTGGGATTTGGTGGAATCCGTTTCCTGAGCTGTCACCAGGGCTGGCCGGGCACGCTGGGGATGTGAAGCTTTGGGGAGCAGAGCTGCAGCTCTGACCCAGCTCTGCCTGCTTTTAGCAGGGCCAGGTTTTGTGAAAATTTATCTTAGAATGAGTTGGATTAAATAACTGTGCTCTTGAAATTTATACCATTTTGTAAAATGGAGGTCAAAATTACGTAGATAAAATAAGTTTAGGTTAGATATTGGGAAGGAGTTGTTCCCTGTGAGGATGGGAAACCCTGGCACAGGGTGCCCAGAGCAGCTGTGGATCTCTGGAAGAGCCCAAGGCCAGGCTGGCCAGGGCTTGGAGCAGCCTGGGACAGGGGAAGGTGTCCCTGGCATGGCTGGGGTGGCACTGGGTGGGCTCTGAGTCCCTCCTGTTGATCCACAGGAACGTGAGCCCACGCTCCCTGGAGACCCACGGGCTGATGCAGAGGCTGAAAGGGGCTGAAATTATTCCATTTTGACTTTCAGCTGCTGAAACAGACACAAACCAGCAACACCATGCAAATGCAGCCTGCAATCCTAAATATTCCCTGGAGCTTTGCACCCATTTTTACGTTGTTCTGGCAGGGAAAGCAGCTGCTTCCACCCACGGTGGCTGAGCTCCCTCCTTTTCCCCAGGGCTTTCTTGTTCTCTGCCCGTCGACAATTTACACCAGCTGCAAATTTGGCCCAATAATATTGATTGTGTGTCCTGTGCCTCCTCTGCGGGCCCTAATTAGTGCCTTGGAGATAATGAGCAGGGAGTTGATGGCAGGGGAGCGGGGCTGCCCCTCGCCAGCCCCGACAGTGCTCAGGGCACAGCACTAATGAGCTCCAGGATTGGGGGCTCAGCGAGCTCCCAGGGCTGCATTGACCCTGCTCTGTCACCCCTGGGCAGAGCTGCCTCAGCCTGGCCTTGCCCACAGCAGCTCCAGAGGGACTGGAAGCCCCTGGGACACCCTAAAACCTCTGGGAATGAGGAACTGCAGCTCTCTGCTCTCCTGCAATACCCGTCCTGCTCCTGCAGCATCCCTCCCAGGGGGTGAAACCACTGTGAAACCCACGGGCACCCACGGTGCCAACGCTTCTGCCCAAACCTTCAGCCCAAAGTCACAAAAAGCCTGGTGATCAAGTTATTGTCACAAATATTTTGACTGTAACTGGGACGCGGGACCCCCAAGTCTGGCTCTGCTTTGTGTGTGCCCAGCAGGCATTTCCAAAGCCTCCATCACTTCTGTGCCTTTGGGAAAAGCAAAAATCTGCCCTCAATGGCCTGACCTTCACTGGCACAGACAGAAGGACCAGGGTGGTTTGAGCTGAGCTCTCAGGTGCAGACTGGGACAGATAAATGGACCAGTTTGGTTTGAGATCAGCACTCAGGTGCAGACTGGGACAGACAGAGGACATAAGGATGTGTAAACATCATTAAACGTGTTCCACGTCTCCTGCAAGCTGTAAATGTGATTTATCCCCGTTTCACGCTTTACAGAGCTTCCTTTACCCTGCAGAGGAGGATATAGCAAGGCAGCAACACGTCCCCAGTCCCCCAGTGGAAACATCCCTTCCCAGGGTGTGACAACACTCCAGTTTGCAGTGGACATTTTGACCTTTCACTCCTCAGCGCTGTCTGTAGCTGCTGTGTTGGGAACAACCGTCCTTGGGGTGCTTGGCTGACCTCCTGACTCCTTTTGGAAAGGCATTTCCATAGAGCTCTCAGCACTTCAAACCAGCACCAGACTTTCAGTGGCATCAGAAATGTGGATGCGTGTGAAGGGAACACTTGACAGCGCTCAAAACTCCATCCCTGGAGCTCCAGGAAGGGACACGCAGGGTAAAGGTGTCGCTGAAAAGACTCAAAAGCCCCCGGTGGCCTTAGGGGTTGAGTGTGGATCTCGCCCAGAGCACGTGGAGCTCCAGGGGAGCCTCTCGGGCTGGATGGCAGCCTGGGCCAGCCTTTATCAGGGAGACGAGGAAGGAAACGCGGCGGCACTGCCAGGGAAAGGAGAGATTTACCCCTCACATGCCCAGAACGCAGCTGCCAGACCAGCACTTATCCTCCTTTCGTTAGCCAGAGGTCGGAGCCTGGCCCCTGCCCCTGGCTGGGGGAAATCTCTCCCTGGGTGCTGAGATTACAGGAACCTGCCCTGTTCCCTGCCCCTTATCGGGACATTGTGTGAAGAGGGCTGAAATATCACTTCGTGTTTTTACGCGTGATAAAGCAAATTTTCACAAGCCGCACCGGCGGCTGCTGACGGGCCCTCGGCCACACAGGGGTGCAGGGGGACCTTAGGGACAGGGCTCTGTGTGAAAAGGGCTTTTTGTGAGGCTTCCTCCTCCTGAAGGGCTCAGGAGAAAGAAAACGGGGCATTTCCTGCTCTGTTCACCTTGCTGGATTCTCTGCTGTTCCCTAAAGCTGAGCACAGCCTGCAGTGGCAGCACCACCACTGCTCTGCCCCTCAGAACCCAAATCCCTGCCTCTGTGCTTGAAGCTATAAACCTAATTTGGTGAGAAACCCAGTCCTGCTCCCAGGAGTTTCCTGCTGGGAAGCTCCTGCAGGGGAAAGGGGGAACTCCTGCTGCCCTTGGTGGGGATCCTCCTGCAGGGAGATTTTGGATCTGGAGTGCTGGAGCACACCAGCACTCGGAGCCTGCTTGAACACCTCCCAGCTCCTGAACTGGCAGGCTGTGGGGCTGGAACAGATGTGGGTTTTCTCCAGAGAGGAGCTCACTTGGACAACTCTTAGCCCCTGCTACCCGGTGTGTTTATTTATCAGGACGCTTCTTTTCCCAGGTTATTCGTCCTGCTGGCCACTGTGGCTTCGTAGCTCCTGGTGCTGCAGCAAGGAAAACACAGGGGAACAGGGACAGGGGACTGCTGCCAGCCCTTGGGACACTTCTTCCCACCCGGGTGAACACTTGCTGGAACACCCAGTCTGGCGTGTTTTCTCCCCAAAACCAGCCTGGTCTGGGGGTCTCCTTCAGCTCCCACGTAAAGGAAGGGAGGATGCACAGCACCACGCTGGAATCCTGGGGAGAACATCGTGTCCTCCCTGCTCCTGGGGCCTGGACAAGGCCTCCTCAGCCACGGCTGGACGCTTCCCGCACGTCCACCGCGCCTCCCACAGCAACGTGCTCCTCTGGGCAGTGGCCAGGCTGAAAAAGGAAACTTCCTATCGTGCCAAAAACGCAATTTGATAAATATGAGGGGATAAGTCACAATAAGCGTGACTGGCTTGGGATCCAAACACAATAATGTGGGAAGGAAAGTTTTCTTTTCTTGCCTCTCGCGCCTACCAAACCCTTGGATACAACAGAGTGAATTCCTAAATGAATTTATTTAATGAATACCTGAGAAAAGCAGAACAGATTTTCTGCTCTAGCACAAAGAATGCAGTGAGGGGACTGAAAGAATGGCCTGGAAGGTGTCTTACTTTCATCTCACACTGCGTGTCTGAACAGTTTTGGATGCAACGGGATCTGTGGTTTAACAGCTCTAATTTGGAAAGCCATGTCACATTTACAGGGAGAGGAAAATCCTCAGCCTGATCTCAGGGTTATCACCTTGCTAAAGCTCATGTGTCCTCATGGTGCAGGAGGGTTAAGGGGTGAAAAATGTCTTTTTGGAGGTTTCCAAGCCCACAGAACAGGGCTGGAAAGGATCTTTTTTCTCTCTGCTTTTATACGGCAGGAGCAGCATCACCCTCTGCAGGGGATCCAGAGTCAATGCCCAAAACCTGCTGAGCTGAAAGGCCCCAAAACCCCCACCATGAGTTTGTAATGTCCCTGCCCCAGGAACAGGGGATTCTCTGCTGCTCCCACCCCAAAAAGCTTCCTGGCCTGGCTGCAGAAGTGGAGGGAGGGAGGAGATGAGGGCTGGGCAGCGGGCAGTGTCGGGGATCTCGCGCCGTGGGGTCTCCAGCAGAACATGTGCAAGTGCAGAAAACCCAGAGCAGGCTCTGGGCTGAGCAGAGAGGACACCCAGCCCCTCAGGGATGAAAAGGGTGCAGTTTCACAGGTCTGGCACAAGCAGTTCATGGTTCTCTGTCTCTGGAAAAAGCTCATTTTAAAGAAAAGAAATCCTCATTCTCTTACAGCACCAGCTCAAGGTGCCCGTGGCTCTCCCCCCTCCAGGCTCTCAGGAAGCTCCAGCCCACCTGACCTCTGTTGGAAAGTCTCTGTCAGAGGTGACCTCTACAAACCCTGCAAAAGTTAATGGGGGGAATATCTCCAAAGAGTCCCTCAGATCCTGCAGCCGGGGTTGTTTTGCCTATCGCAGCGGAAGCGCAGGAATGCACAGTTTATTTTAAATAACGTGCACTTGTCCTACTCGTGGGCATTTCTGAGCCTCAGCCAAGCCTTTGCACGTCATTACAGTCGGCTGTGAAGGAATTATTGGCCTCTTCACACTTTTGATCTTTGCAGAAAGGAGCGTGTGGCATTTCCAGCCCAGATGTTCAGATGCTGCTCCTGAACACGGAGAAGTTTCTCCCTAATGACTCCTGGGCCTCACACTCGCATTGGTGAGGAGCTTCTGCAGAGGTAAAAATTAAATAAATGCTAAACCAGCTCTGTCAAAGCCATCTGAAGTCACAGGAAAGACTCGTGAACGGCAGCTGTGCACTGGTGGCAGACACTTCAGAGCCTCTGAGTGTGAGTGGGGGGATCCATGGATGTTTTGCCTGTGGGTACCTCCAGCAGGGAGACAGGCAGCTGGAGGAGGGACACCTCTGGCTCCTTCTCCTGAAGGCACCGTGGGTCCAGAGCCCAAACGTCTGAGTGCAACCCTGCCTGAGCAGCAGGAAGTGTTACCTGTCCTCCAGGTAACCTGAGCAGCTGAAAGAAGAGTTGAAACAAACACACCCAAAAAAGCTAAAGGATATTTCTGATATTTCCTGGTCCAGAGCATGAACCAGCCCCTAAGCTCTGCTCTCCTTCCTCCCCCTGGCCTGTGGGCAGGAGCAGGACCCTGGACAATCCAAGTGCCAGGCTCTGAACCAGCAGTTCCTGGGCACTCCTGCAGCTGCATTCGGTGTCTGTGAAAAGCTGGGTGTCTCCTCCTAGTTGGTTTTGGCACCAGTTGGACTCGTGGCTTTAGTTAAGTTCTGTATCTCCTCCTCGAGCATCCTGATTTTCTTCTCCAGCTCCTCCCGCGAGCGCTCGGCGTTCATCAGCCTCAGCTCCAGCTCCCCACTCCTCTTCTTCTCCTGCTCCAGCTCCTGGTTCAGCCTCACCACTTTGGCCCACACGTCATAGTTTTCCTTCTGGAGGCTGCAAAGGGAAGCAGAACATGGAAGGATTGGATTGGATTGGATTGGATTGGATTGGATTGGATTGGATTGGATTGGATTGGATTGGATTGGATTGGATTGGATTGGATTGGATTGGATTGGGTTGGATTGGGTTGGATTGGAAAAGGGCTGGGAAATCATTTGGCTCTCAGGGAGTCTGGCCTCAGACTCCCTCAGCACCAAAACAAACCAGAGGTGCTGCCCTGAGCCCTTCAGTTCAGATCTATTGATCCAATAGAACAATAAATGTGATATGTGTGTATTGATAATGGGATAATAATAATAATAATCATCATAATGACAATATGTGGGGCTGATGGTTACAACCAATGGTCTAATACTGCTGCTGGTGAATTCTGGAGAGTCTGATGGTCCAATGGCCTGCTAATAACAGGAATTATGACAGGAATTATGCAAAGGCCTGCAGGAACATTGCAGTGCCACTGAATGATGTGTAAGAGCTATGGAGCACTGATGCTGGAATAATACATCCCCCACAAGCTGTGCAGTGCAGCAGATTGGTTTTCAGACAGCCTGCTTGATGCTGTATTTTCTCATTAATCACTGCTTGATGCTGTATTTTCTCATTAATCACTGCTCGGTGCTGTATTTTCTCATTAATCACTGCCCGATGCTGTATTTTCTCATTAATCACTGCCCAATGCTGTATTTTCTCCCTCATCACTGCAATGACACCCTGCAGAACCCTGCTGGTGAATGCAGCGTGCAGCGTTTGCTGCCACACACGAGCTGCCTCTGCAGTTACCTTTCAATCTGCCCCTCGTAGTCATTCCTCTGCGCCCCCAAATCCTTCTCCAGCTTGTGGACCACACCTTCCAGGAACTCCCTGCTGTCCTGCTCGGCTCTGGGGTCCTCGGCAGGGCTGCTGGTGGCACTGGCAGCTTCCCTTGGCTCGTGGCAGGGGCTGAAGCAGGGCAGGAATTCCTTCTCGGAGGTGCTGCTGGCAGGGCTGGGGCTGGAGCCGCCCTCGCCGCTCTCCGTGGCCCTGTGGAGGTCCAGCAGCTTGAAGAGGTCGTGGGACAAGGTTCTCTTGTGTCCCTCACCCGCCGCGGGCCGCGGGCTGCTCTTCCACAGGTCGCTGGCCAGGACGTCGCTCCTGTCCCTGCTGCCCTTCTCCCCCGGGGCTGCCAGGAGGGATTTCCTCGTGGGCAAGGTCTGGGTTCTTTTCCTGGCCTGTGTTTTCCACGCTCCCAGCGTGTCCGTGGGCTCCGTGTCCTCCCCGGGGACGCTCGAGGGGGCAGCTGGGCCAGGGGTGCTGCTGGAATTGGGGTGATCCCTCTGGAAAACAGAGCCCTGGAGCAGACAGGGCACAGCCACTGCTTTACAAAGGGGAATGGCCAAGCTTTTCCATTAAAAACTCACTTTGAATTGCACCACACTCATCATTTTTGCAGGGTCCCTTTGGAGAAAAGCCTTTAATCCTCAATGTTTTCCCCCCAGCAGCCTGAGCTGGAACAGTTTCATGTGCTCAGCTGTTTGGCTTTGGGAGTTTGCACGGTCCCCAGAACAGCAGATTTTCCACAGGAAAGTGGAAAGTTTATCTACATCATTTTCCTGATGTAAATATTCCAGGGGTGACAGACACAGCTTTTGAACCTATAAATAGCAAGTGCTTCCAGGGCTCGCTGACCTGTCAGAGCCTGCCACAATTAACCACACGTTTAATGAATTAATTTATTTATTCATTTATCCCCTGGGGAATAAATCCAGCCTTACCAGCTGCCTTTGCGTGGAGCCTCTGGGGTCCTCTGCAGCCCCCCAGCCCACGGAGCTGCGAGGGACCGGAGCTTTCTTCTCGTTTTGGGGGGCAGGCGGGGAGGGAGGCGCATCCTTGGAGGGGGGAAAGAGCTCCTGGTGGTGGCTGATCATCACGGTCATCACCTTCTGCACCTGGGGCGTGCCTGGAGGAGCAGAGGGTCAGGGGCAGCCCCGGGCATCCCCCAGCCCCAGGGATCACCCCGGCCCCGGGGATCCCCCCAGCCCCAGCTCGGGATCCCCCCAGCCCCGGGGATTCCCCCAGCCCCACGGATCCCCCCAGCCCCACGGATCCCCCCAGCCCCGGGGATCCCTCCAGCCCGGGGATCCCCCAGCCCCGGGGATCCCCCCAGCTCCGGGGATCCCCCAGCCCCAGCTCGGGATCCCCCCAGCCCCGGGGATGCCCCGGGGATCCCCCCAGCCCCGGGGATCCCCCCAGCCCCGGGGATCCCTCCAGCCCCGGGGATCCCCCCAGCCCCGGGGATCCCTCCAGCTCCGGGGATCCCCCCAGCTCGGGATCCCCCAGCCCCGGGGATCCCCCCAGCTCGGGATCCCCCAGCCCCAGGGATCCCCCAGCCCGGGGATCCCCCCAGCCCCGGGGATCCCCCCAGCTCCGGCCTTTTCTGCCGTCTGAAACGGAGACGGAGCAGAAAAACAAGGAGCGGGACCATAGAGCCAAATAATATAAAATGGCTTTGTGGAAAATCCTCAAAACCTGACAGAAGGCTCACATCTCTGTGCAAACCTCAGGATAAAAAAATACTTATTTAAAAATACCGTAAAATAAGACAAACGTTGTTGAAAAGAAATTAAACTAGAAACAAGTTTCAAAAAAATAGCCTTACAAATAAGACTGAACACTTTTTAAAAACTAGAGCTATAAACAATACGTTATAATAAGACCCACAAAAAGTAACTTTAAATTATTAACTTTAAAACATTTACAACATAATGTAACTAAAACTAATAAACCAAAATACACTTATTGCCAGTAAAAAATAGGGAACTTCTAATTGTAATAATGCAAATTATAACATCTATATTATTTCAACCTTCACATAAGACTAAAAATAGAATAAAAAGTTTTCAAACAACTCCCAGTAAAATATATATAATCCAACATAAAAGTAAAGGAGTTCCCACATCTCTCTGAGCTTCCTCTGCTCCCCCAAAAGGCTTTTACAGCCTCCTGCTCTGAGCAGCACAGAGATGAGCTCAGCCACCCCTGAACCTGCTGAGCTCCACCAGGGGAGTTTTTGTCACTCTGTCACTTCCTGAGCGGCTTTTGTCACCACAGACACATTTAGAGCCCAGCAAACAGGGCTGTAAATGTGCCCAGGCACATTTCTGCCTTTCCTTCAGCAGAAAATCTTCCATTCTGAGCCCGTGGCTGCAGCGGGGGTCTCCAGGCCAGGCGTTCCCGTGGGAATTTCTCCCTTTACCTCTCATGATAACCGCAGGGTCCTCGATTCTGGGCCGGATCAGGTTCACCCCCATCACCGTGGCCAGGTTGTCCACACTCATCTTGTTAACGCTGGAGTTCAGCTGGATGTCATAGAGAAACCTGCCAGAATTCCACAGCGGCTATTTCACATTTCAGAGGTGGGAGATGGCAGAAAGTCCTGCTGGAAAAGCCCTGATGCATCCTCCCAGCTCTTCCTCTCAGCACAGGGACAGAATAAAAAGCACCACCTGAGGAGCTGCTCCCCTGAGGAACAGCTCAGAAGGGAAGGAAATCCTCCCACCAAATCTCCACCCAGGCTGGGCGAAACCTGCAGGTTTTGGTGCACAAGGCTTTTGTCCAGGAAAGCTACACCTGATTTTAATTAATCCCCAGGTTTTAATTCCCAGGGTGATTAATGAGTGAGTTTGAGGGTGGTGATTGATGCTCAGACATTCCCAGGGGGTTTATCCCTGAAATTCTCCTCTACAGAAATCAGGACCTGGTGGCTCGAAGGGAAGCAAAGCACAGCTTAAGGAGGCTCTGCCCAGAGGGGTCATCCCTGGGGTGGCATTTCTGCTCCCCACCACCAAACCTGAGCTGCCCAGGCCTCGTGCAGGGCACTGACCTGCAGATGTAGCTGAGGAGGTTGTAGTTGTCTCTGGGCAGGAGGGACAGCTGCTTCAGGAGCTCCTGGTGGCCCTGAGTGGTAAAAAACAGCTCCAGGAGGGTTCACAGGCCCCAGGAACTGCTCCTGGTCACTCCAGCCGTGCCTGGGTGGGGTCTCCTCCTGGACACCCCACCAGCCCCAGGGCAGAAGGGTGTCCCCAGCCCTGGGAGAGCTCCAAACACGCCTGGTGGCACTTGGGGACAGGGCTGGGTGGTGACCCTGGGGATGCTGGTTGATGATCTCGGGGATCTTTTCCAAACTCAGCCATTCCACGACTCTGGCCCTCCTGGCATTTGCTCCCCCTGGGGCTCCATCTCTCCCTGGAATGTTCTGCAGGGCTCAGCAAGGAGGGGCAGCCCCAGCAGGAGCAGGGTCCCCTCCAGCCCAGCCCAGCCCGTGTGAGATGAGCTCTGGGAAGAGCTGATCCTGCCTCATCTCCTGTAGCGTCTTGTGGACATTGAGGACATTTTCAACCCCAAAGAGAAGCAAAAATTTAAGCTTGAAAATTCACAAACCCACGTGGCCAAGTTGGGAAACCCCACTGGCTTTGGGGGGCGAGTTTCTCTTTTTAATTTTCTCCCTTTTTCTCTCCCCAGATTCCAAAGCTCCATGGCTGATGCTGCTGTGTGCCCTCGCCCTCTCCAGCTCAGGGCACGCCTTGGCACTAAAACCGATTTCAAGGCTGGCAGGAGGGAAACAAAAGCACCCGTACCTTTGTCTCGTCAGCCTCCAGAGCCTGCCCGCAGCGCAGGAAATCCTCGTACTGCAGCCAGGGCACCACGGGCTCCGGCAGCTCCCGCAGGTACAGCTTGAGCAGGGAGGCCACGGTGTGCACGTCGGTGTCCCTGCGGGCACGGCACGCTCAGGGGCAGCGGGGCCGGGGCTGTGCCCGAGCTCTGCCCGGGCACAGGGAGCTGGGCACAGCGGGCCGGGGGCACCCACAGCCAGGGCAGCAACCAAAGGCTTCCCCAGGGTGGCAGGAGGGTGGCAGGTGCCACGGTGCACAGCGGGGCTGGCAGGGATTCACTGCCAGGGCCCCCAGAGCCGAGCTTTGAGCAGCACAGAGCCCCAGGCTCAGCTTTACCCGGCTGCCCTTCCCTGGGATGTGCTGGAGCCTGGCAGGCAGCGC